AAAAAAAGTCACATAAATTCTGAGGTAATAATTTTTTTTCTTTTGTTCCATTGAGCCTCTAATGAAAAACAACTTTTGGCCATATTTCTTTAGCAATATCGAATGAATCGTACTTATTATTTACATGTTTGTTCATTGCCTGAAAAATGGATCAATAAAAAATAATTCGTATTTAAATAATAAAATTAAAATATTGATTAGTTAAAAAAGTGGCCTTTTTAGCTTAAGTTTTTTTTTAGTTTTCCTATTTCGATTATAGTTTTCGATTTTTTATTTTTGAGAAAAAAAAATAAAAGTTTTGTATGGGAGGCACCTTTATTTTTGGTTGAAATTTCATGAAACTTGGTGATATTACTTATTTTGGTCAGAAAATAAGATTCACAAGTTTTCATGGTAATTGAGTCACTGCAATTTTTCATGATTTTCCAGTAAAATGTACCTCCTTTCCTTTCAAGTCGCTGTCTTATATGGAACCGCAAGTTGAAAATTCCTTCATATCTTGAATCTGGGGACTATAAGACATGTTTTCTCAAGTGGCCATCAAGATATGCCTCGAAATTCAAAAAATGTTCCACCCTAATGTACATCTCTCGTCTGAATCAGGTGGCAAATTTATCGTTGGTCGGATGAGTTCGTTGACCACACGATCCCAAAACATATAAATGTTGCAACAAATCGGTGTTGACTTTTATAGTATGCCCGTGCTTAGTTGACATTTCCTGCAAATAAATAGTAGTGCAAAAATATAGTTGAAGTAATGAAAATAGTGGATTTATAGTAAATAGCAACTGTCTTATAATTTTACTATACCATTAGAGTGATTGTTGTCTGCGCATTCTCGGTAGATATAGTCAAATTATAAATTAATTCCTTTCTCATATAGCGCATTTCGTATTTTCCGTTAGGTTGGTTCCAGTTATCAGGCAGGTCATCGACACGTATGTATTCCTGAAAAATAAAAGGAGAAAAAAGTGGAGTGTTTTTATTATGGTAAAACTTTCAGGAATTATTATCTATGGAATCAAAAATGAAAACTTACTCGTCCTGTGCCCACGAACGGAAATTCCTTCGATAACAAACACGTGTTACCAACATAAATACGTCTGTGTGGTTATGTAAACTGTTTCTATGTTTATTAATCGCCATATTGAGGTAAATTTCAACAAGTTTTGATAGCGGCATTTTTCTTTTTTCTTTTTCACATAAAGTGATAAAGGAAAAAATGTTGTACACTTCTGATTTCTGAAAACTAAAAAAAAAAAAACAAAACTTAAAAAAACTTGAGCTAAAAAAGCCACTTTTTTAACTAATCAATATTTTAATTTTATTATTTAAATACGAATTATTTTTTATTGATCCATTTTCCCAAGTCAGTATAATACCCTTTTCGAAGAGTGTACACGCTCTTCTCACACTCTTCATATAGTTTTATTCGACTCCCTTCTCACACTCTTCTCACACTTTTGCATAAAACACGTTTATTGCTCAGTAGCTTCAATTTTTTTCTCTAAAAATTTTTCTTTTTTTTCCTTTATAATAAATGTTTCCACTGATGGATAGTTTTTGATTTTGTTTATTTTTGACATTTTGAAAAAAATGAATTTGTAGTTCTGTTGTATTTTGACACAGCTGACGAATGCCATAAACGTCAAAAACGTTCAAATATCAAAATACAAATAGAATGCAGTGACAGCAGTGATAGCATTACCAATACCATTACACACTCTCTTCTCACTCAATATACGTGTTTTATGCAAAAGTGTGAGAAGAGAGTGAGAAGAGTGGGAGAAGGGAGTCGAATAAAACTATACGAAGAGTGTGAGAAGAGCGTGTACACTCTTCGAAAAGCGTATTATACTGACTTGGGTTTCAGGCAATGAACAAACATGTAAATAATAAGTACGATTCATTCGATATTAATGCTAAAGAAATATGGCCAAAAGTTGTTTTTTATTAGAGGCTCAATGGAACAAAAGAAAAAAAATTATTACCTCAGAATTTATGTGACTTTTTTTTAATAAGTATCATATAATCTTGATTTAAAACGATGTAAATAGTTCACAATGATTGAAATTTCTAATAGACTTTGATACATATATGGTAGTTGGAGGTAAATATAATTTTTTGTTCAATAAAAGAGATATCTCGATTTGTGGAAAAAAAATTAAAACAAAAGTTCTTTTTTTATGCGTGTAAGTGTGTGTATGTGAGTGTGTATGCAGGTTTTCACTCGCTTTTATGTAAGCACGATTGAGTGGGAGGGAGAGAGTGAGAGATTGTTGGTTGTTTCGTATGTTTTAAAAAAAACAAATGAAAAGGCGGGATGAAACTTGCTTTTCTATACTACTGGAGATAAAGATAATACAAGTACCATAGATCGAATCTGTTACAGGACTTTGCGAATTTGATTTATTAACTATAGAAAAAAATTATACGAACTTCGCAATATAAGTCATATGTATTTTAA